ACACATTATTACACATTAGCACAAGGAGAATATCTTATTTCATAAAAGAATACATCGAGTTTGAGGTACAAATTCAAATTCTTCTCCTCCACCCCAAAATGTACTTAGTTAGCTGCCACAGGGTGCATTCTCTGTTTCCGTATCCGCTTATTTTTATGTTATATAATTTTTTTTTTTCTCAACAAAGATGAACTTTTGTGTAAGTCCATAATTCATTTCGGTTGAATGAGTGGGTGTGTGTATTCTCGTTGATATAGGAACTTGCAATGTTCTTTATGTTAAGTTTTGCATATGAAAAATTAACTTGCACACGCGGTAATCACATATAAATTATAATGTGTAATGACTGCTTTTATTAAATTCGTAAAAATGTTCATATTTTATTAAAATGCGATTTCAGTTGTCAGTTAAATTCGGTTGGAATGAGAACATAGTATACCTCTATGAACCAATAAATGTAATGGACTAAAAGTGTGGTTTCGTATCTTTACACATTAACGTAAAGTTGTGAATCGAAAAATCTACATATCCATTTACTTTGATCGGCTTTTTATGGTAACATTTTATGAAAGATCTTCAAAAGAAAGCAGTTATTGGAATACAAATTATTTGTTATATTATAGCACACATATATAGAGTAAATGATAGCGAAAAATTTATGTGCCTATCACAGAACAGTAATATATTTTTTCCTGTAGCTGTCACTAGTTGATGTTGATGTTGAGCCCTTTCCGAGTTAGTGCAACAGGGCACTTTTACCCTTGATAGCTGGGGGGTTTCTGGTGAGTCCTACCCATCTCCTGATTAATTTGTGTATTACTCATAAGCTTCGTGGTTATTCAATAACTGATCCAACATCTGCGTACATCCCCGTGCGGTTAGTGATTACTCTGAGGTTAAATAGTGCTAAGTAGGGCAGCCTGTCGGTTTAAGCTGTCACTAGTACAGTAATGCAAATAAAATCTTAATAGAAGAGTCATTAGATATTAGAATGAGCAAAACTAAATTAATTAAAGCTCTCCACATACTATATACCGGTGTTGAAGTTTAAGGTATTTATCATGATCAAATAAATGATATTAATATATATAGTAGGCTGTATTAGTATTCCACAATGAGGTTCATTGAACAGGGTAAAGGACATTTCTTACTACGTTAATGATTGTGTTGTCTTTTTGTAAATGAAAAGTTTTTGAAACAAAATTTTAGTTAGAAGATGAACCACGTAGTGGTTTTACAATACCAGAAATCATTGAGAATGTCTACGACATAGAGATAGAGATCCAAGTTTGACTAAGCACGAAATTGCTGATTCCATAGATATTTCAGACATACGAGTAGTTTACATTTTAAAAGAAGAAATACGTAAGAAAAAGCTAACGGATAGTTAGTGCCACATTCTGTGACAATTCAACAAAAACTGAATCGAAAACAAATTTCTCAACGTAATCTGCAGTGTTAAGAGCAGAATGAAACCAAATTTGTTCATCGTTTTCCAGATGAAACCTGGATTTACTAACATGATCCTAAACTAAAACAGGTAATTTCGCTCTAAAACTAGTGAAGTCACAAAGGTCCGCAGCAAAAAACGTTATAGCATCACTTTTCTGGGATGCTAAAGAAGTTTTATTGATTGCTTGTCTTAAAAAAGGCAAAAAATTTAATTATAAATATTATTATGGACCAGTTAAATAAAAAATAAATGAAAAAATACCCAGCTTACGGAAGAAAAAAGTAATTTTTCATTAACACAATGTACGAGTTTATACAAGTGTTTTGAACATAATAAGTCCGACTTGCTTGAACCCCCATCGTATACCTCAGATCTGGCTCCCTCTGAATTTATTTCAGACATTTGAAGCAATTACTTCGTAGTAAGTGGTTTTCATCGAATGAAGAATTCATTGTAGCCGTGGAACAGTATTTTAGAAAGCATCCGGAAAATCATAGGTGGTATAAAATTATTTAAAGATTGTTGCAATATAGGTATGCATTAAAATTGCGCGAGATTTGAATAAAAAACTAATTTTATTAAAAAATTCACACTTATTTCTTTCATTTTTCATTTTTTCTTTCAAAACTTTTGAACCAATCTGAAAATATAAAATTTGTTTTTAAAGCAAAAAGTACGTAAACTATTGATTCTCTGTTAGAGGCAAAACTTTTTGAAACCCACGCGTATATTGAATTCAATATATAACACATAATTATACAATGAAAATCCAATAGAGAAATTTACTTGTAAAACTCGCACCTGTAATTTTTATAAGATGGGACAGTTAATAGATAATAGATTTGGAATATTCTGGAATTTCTCCAAGAGTTAACTTGGAGTCCTGACTTTACTTCACTTTTTCCTGTCTTTAGCATACGGAGTCGAAACATAATTAACTTTAGCAATAAACGATGACTATTCTTTAAAGTTGATTTTAAAATTAAGGTTTAGAGATATATGAATTAAGAGCTTGGCTACTGATTATTATACCAAATTTAGCAGTGCAAATTATTACTAACTAATGCGTCTGAAATATTTTACAGATAGTAGTACAACCATTTCGGACTCAAAACAAAACCCACAAAAAAATATACATACCATATAAAAATAAATATATATATATATATATAAATATGTAATATATATAATATATATATTAAATATATATATATAATATAAATTATATAAATATATATAATATATATGGTAGTTATATACTGCACCAAAATGCACAAATTGATCTCAAGATATTTAAGTTACCGGTTAAATTATTAGGAACTACATAAAAATGTTAACTGTAAATGGCATTCTAAAGAACTATAAATAACTAGATTAGAAATTGGTGAGGCATATGGAAGTACAAAATAGTGCAAAATATTTCTATAAGGAAGATACTTGCTCCGTATGTGTCAACTGAGAGAGTTAGTGAGAAACTGATTACTTTTTCTTTTTTTGACAATTCATTTCTCTTCTTTTGAAAACAACTCTTTTCTCTCCTTTTTAGTAGCTTTATTTTAAAACCCGCTCAAAGATGGGGTACTTTAATGTATATAAAGGCTTTGCCCAAATATGTTTGACTGCTTTCAACATCTCTACGATTTCGTTATATCTGGTTATAAATCATATAAATATTTTGAATTAATTTATTACTAACTAATTAATTAGAAATAACTCGAAAAATTATATTGAATCGTAAAGGTTTTAAAAATAGTATAGAATCAAAAGTAATCTACACATTTTTCACACTTTCCCCTTTACTGAAATTATTTCAATCCTATTTTTAGTATATTTAGTATTTTCAACATAAAACATAAGACTTTCTCTTCTCTACTTCAAGTAGCGCATATTATATATTATAATTATTATCGCAGTGGTACTACAGTGGTAATTCCTTTATATTGGGTCTAGATAACTGTATTTTAAATAAGTATAACCATTGTAATATAATGTAAAGTAATGGTTTATGGCTTAGGCTAAGGCCTTTCTGCACTGCGACCAGTTTGATCTATTGTTTGATCATTTAGTAACTCCAGAAGTCGAACCAGCTCCTTCGGACAAAGTTTTTAAAGGTCTTTATCCTCTAGTTGGTATGTACTTAATATTTTGTTTCTTCTGCGACCGAGTACATCGCTGCTTGTAAGTATAGTCATTGGTGCTAGTATATCTGTAAGGGTGTTTTGTGAAGGTATTAAAACGGCAAATAATTGTTTATTATGAGAGGAGGAAAAGTATCTCCTGATTAGTCACTGTAATTAATCAATCAACTACTTAGACTTGGAAATCCATTATATTTAAAAACTTTTTATTTAGAACACTTTTAGCTCATACTACAAAATGGATATATCTGTTTTTAATATCTGAGAATACGTTTGTAACAAATTATATATTCATTATAAAAAACACAGTTGTTTATTTTAACACTTAAAAGTTCTTTATTTATTTGAATTAATTATATTTTATATAAATTAAATTGAATTACTTTTAAATTACTTTCTAAATATTTTACAATTTTCATTATATATTATTAAAACAATACGGAAGTAATAATTATGTATATGAAGTCCTGATTTTTTATAACTAAAAATAAACAATTTTCAATATATTGTATATATGACTAATGCAATATATGTATGAGTTCCTGTTTTTATAATAGAGTAATAAATAATTAATTTTTATTACAATTTCAGTTGATATAATTTTTTAGTTAAAATATTTGTTTTATGCAAAAATTCGCGACTATTTAAATGAGAATGAAAATAATTTAAATACTCAAATGTTACAGTAATTTTTTTTTATAAAAATTTATTAATTATTTTAATTTTTACTGGTAATATTTATGTTCAAACTTTTGGTATTTTATACCGATTTAAATAAAAAACATAATGAATTTTTAAAATAAGAAGATTTAATTTTTTAAATTAAAATTTAAAGATATGTAAATTTTTTTTTATAAATAAACATTAATAATAAATAAGGCAATAAATGATTTCGCAAAGAAAATGCTTTAATTATTTACAAGTTAATTTATACGAATTTTTAATTTAGCATTAAGTTGGGTGAGTTCTATCGGCTCACGTTAAAATAGATACAATTCTTTGGTTTCAACTACTATATTAACTAATTCTTTAGTAATTAGAACAATGCGGAATTGAAGTTCTTTAATTAATTTAATTATTAACTAGAAAATTTCTTAAAACTATCATTCATTAAAAAAAAATGCATATATGCAAATTACTGGGTCTTAACATTATTTTTTGCACAATTGTTAAAACTTAATTAAAACGTTACTAAATTTTTCGTAATTATTTGTCATTTTTAGCTATTAATTTTATTTATTAAGTATTCAAAATTTATTAAATTTTTTAATCTAATTGGAAACTAATTCAGTTAAAAGTCTTAAAACTAGAAAATTGGCTGGATTTATGCGTTAGATTATTTAATAACACATTAAACGAATTTGTAATTTATAATTTATAATTTATAATTAATAATTTTGATATGAGTCTAGTAGTTTTTTGAAGAATGTCATATAAGTTGCAGAAGTCGAATTAATAAATAACATTTATATAGATATCTTATTATGGCTTTCAGTTAAGAACGAACAGTCCATATCCAGCATATTTCAATCACGTTCATCGTATTTGTGCACGAATGAGTTCAAAGCGGGAAATTGTGAGTTATCGTACAGCGACATCTTGAGGCGCTTACACTTAGCACGACGATTCTTGAACCAGAATTGCACATTTTTGCTTTCTAGCCGTGGAAACTTTTGCCTGGAAAGATAAAAGAGAGTGATCCTTTAGTTGGTATATATGATACATATATTATTATTAGGAATATATATTATTATACATTATATTACATAGTTTATATATATAGAAATTATATATATATTTTATATATCTATTATATATATTTGTTTTGTATATTTGTTTTCTAACAATTATATAATATTGCATATTTCTACTTATTATAAATGCTTGGATTGGATTTTACCGACGATTTTAGGGATCCACTTAAATCAATTGTTTTAATTTGTTCTCGTATAAAAGTCAAGGGCTTAAAACGATCTTCAATTTTTACCACAGTTCATACCTATCAATATAAATTGTAACATTATGGGGTTCAAACATCCAACACTGAGGCAGATTTACAGGAAACCGGGAAAAAAGTATTTCTCTTGAATATAGCATTTATATAAAGCAAATTTTTATATTTATTTTGATTAAAAAATTAATACAGAAGTCAATTGTATGGGTGGAGAACCCCTAAATTTCTCTTTATATATAGCTGTGTCAACCTATGAGAAACCTAATTAGTAAAGAACTACTTTTTATCTGATTGAATTAGGCTTTACAAGGTGGATCAATTCAGTTATTGGATAAAATTGAAGGACTGTATTATATATAATATGTAGTGTTAACTTTATGAAAAAGATTATGTATATTTGGACTTTTGGACCTTGGACTTTTTTCACAAAACGAAGAATGCTTAGAATTGACTCATAAGAAATATTAATACATGTAAATTAAAAAATTTTGAAATACCCAAATAAGCCGTCTTTGAATTATACAGACGGGATTAATCGAATACTTATTGAGCCGATTTATTTAAATAATTCTAATATAAGTATACACATATACATATATATATATACATATCTAATTTTAAATCATTCTTACCTATATGGCATCGTGTTCAAATCTTCTGTATATTTCAGTATTAAATTGTGTGATGGATGTGTATTCATAGCGAACCACTGTTCCAGTTTTGGTACCTCTGTAACTGGATCGATAAACGTGCGATTACGTTTACGACGTTCTTCATTTGATAGGCTAGATAAATTTAAGCCACTATGACTCATTAAAGGACTCTGTTGCATACCAGCTGCAGCCGCAATGGCATGATGTGTATGTGGATGGCCGGCAGCTGCTTGACCAAAACCAGGCATGTAATGACTCATATACATGAACGATTGTGAGAACATAGAGTTGGGTACCATCGGAAATTGTAAATCCTTACGATCTGCCATTGAGTTCGTCATATCCGGTGAAGGTGAACGAAAATCATCCAATTGACTGGTATCATTTTCATTATCCTCATCATCTTCATCCATATCAAGATAGTCATCTTCTTCTTTAGTTGTTATATGCTTCGGTGATGAGTTCTCAGCTAAATCTTGTTCTACCTGTTCGTTACTAGGATTGCTGTTATTATTGTTATTGGAATTAGTTGAGTTATTATTAGTTTCATTTTCGTTCTGTTGCACATCATTTGGTGTGGTTACTGTATCACTTTTATTGCTTTCAATATTCTCATCAATATCTTTTTCACGTTTTACAGTATCCTCTTCATTGTAGTCACGCGAACATGATCGCTCCATTTGTAGTGGCGTACCATTAATTAAGTTATGTGTATCATTCTCATCTTTCGAGGAGCTTGTGCGACGACTTTCAGCGCAATGTTCATCATTATTTGTGGGTGAGTTGCGATTACGTTCATGTGTTGTCAATGATAGTGGCAATTGTGGGGAGCATGGGCGACTTGTATCTTCATCCATGTCATCTGAGTGTTGTGACATTGTATCTATATCTTCCGATTTTAAACTCAAAGGACTTTTGAGATAGTCATGTGCCAACGGCATACCAACACCACTCAGCTGTTGACTGCCAGTTATGCTACCAGCACTACTGCCTGAATTTTGACTCAATTGACCGTGTTGACTCAAATATCCATTCATAGCTACATGACCTAAAGCACCAATTGCTCCCAGACCGCCACGCATTTCAGCACGTTTCTGGGCAGCACGCGCATTCTTGAACCAATAAACAACATTGTTCACATCCAATGGTTTGCGACCTCGTCGCGATTCCAAAGCATTCAATTGTACTACATAAGTTTGTATTTGTTGTCGGGAAGGATGTGGATTCTCTTGAAACCATTTCTGAAGTTTTGGTAACTCCATTTCAGGATCAAAGCTTGTACGCATGCGTGTTTTCTGATTTGGATACTGGGAATGTGAATGATGATGATGATGGTGCATAGAAGCGTGCATTGCGGGATGTACCAACATGCCTGGGTGATGCGATGCACTATTTCCGGGCACTCCTGGTCCACCATGCTCATTTAACATTAACGATTCATGACTTGCATTAATGCCGGTCGGTACACCTAAACTGGATACACTTGCATTGCTACTTGCCGCATGTAGACCTGCTTGTGCTGCTGCCGCTGCAGCTGCTGCGGCTACTGCAGCAGAACCAACTTTAAAGTCCATATCGTTCGCAACTGGTTGTGGTACAGCCATAAAAGGAAGCATTTTTGGAGTCATAGCAGCTTGAGGCGATAATTGATTTGACCACCATTGTTCAAATTTTCTTCGTATATCTTCGGAGATGTCAGGAAATGCATACGCGTTTTGATATGAGATACGGCATAGCTGCGAAAGTATTGACTGTAAGAGAAAAAAAATGATGTGCGAATATAATAAATTTGTTTTTAACAATTTGATAAAGATTTAGCAATAATTGTTATCAATAATAATGTTGAAGTAAAATATTTTGAACTAACACTTCAGCTGTTTGTTTATCCACCGCTTAACAACTTTTGCTGTATTTTGAGTAAATTACGTCATTGTAAAAATTCCCAATACATATAATATATACAGTATATATAAAACATTTATAAAAACACGTAGTAACGTAGTAATCTCCTGTCAAAGCCGGCCAAATATAAATCCCTTGTGCAAATCTTTGCCTAATGCCAACGCTATATCTAAATTCCCAACCTATTTTTGACAACAAACTAAGCACAAGTCATAAAAATCACAGCGAATGCTTTCATAAAATTCTCAAGTATGGGATTCAGTAAGCCATAAAAAGGTAAGCGTGATTGCAAAACGTTAAATCAAAACGAAATTGGCCACACCAGTGCTGATATGGAATTGTGTCCGACTGCAGGTAATTATTAGATATACACTATGTGAGTGTAAGTGATTAAATTACTTACATAATTGTTATATCAGCAGAGCAGTGTAGTAGCTAATGGGGTATGAAAGTTTGACGTGTACTCATCGCCAACCCTTGATATGACTAAGCTACCAAAGCTTAAGACTTCAGGAAGAACTATTCGATTTCCAATGAAAAAATCTACTTGAATAGATATATTTACCAATAACAAAACCAATAACCAACAATGTCGAAAGGTAAGTACAAGATAAGCTTATATAGAGGCATACCAGCAAAAACAGATAGTGACTATTATCAGATAAGGAAGAATTACAAATCACTTAAGCCATTCTATTTTCAAAACACCAAAATATATAATAAAACTGGCTATGGTAAGTCGTACGGAGCCAAATGCGATTTGCTAGCGTAGTTCAATTAGCAGATAAACACATTTTTATATATTAAATAAATATAAAATTTATTATTTATTGTTATTGGGCACTCAAGTTGATTTAATTAATTTATTTGCTAGCAAAAATACGCACACAGAGGCCCTCAAAGTATCGGGATTAAATTACGGCAGAGAGACTTTTATCATGTGATTAATAAAAGTTGCCAATATTAAGACGTGCAATAAAACAAACTAACGAAATATTAGTTGAAGGGGATTTTTAAGACAATTTTATTGTAATAAAAAGTTTATATTAAAAAAATAAATTACTTAAAATTTAATTTAAGACCCCTGTATAATGTGCCTAGATTAGGTACGACGGCTTACGTCAATAAACTAATAAGAGAACTCCTTATTCTATATGATATGAATTGATTGACTAAAAATTTCAAAAATATATTATTATATTATTTAATATATTATTTCACTTGAAATAAAATCTATCGTTTAATTCTATATAATTTTTCTATACTATTTTATCCTTTCTATTTTATCAGAAATTTTTGTGTGCTTTTAATATGAATTGTTCTATTAAAAAATTTAAAAATAGAGATCACATATATAAAATTTTTATTTTAAATAATGTAATTTTTAATTTATTATTTAACTTTCTCCGTTATTTTATTTTATTTAATTTTGTTTTATTTTATTTCTTTTTTATTTTATTTTATATTATTTTTTTTCTATTTATTTTAATAGAAATTTTTGTGTAGTCAAATCAGCTTTATACATAAAAAAATATATTTTCTACATAATACTATAATAGTTTAATAATTTTTATATTATATTTCAATTTAAATAAAATCTATTATTTAATACTTTTTCATTTTTTATTTTATTTTATTTTATATTATTTTTTTTTATTTATTTTAATAGAAATTTTTAAGTACTCAAATCAACTTTTGATATGAATTGTTCTACTAAAAATTAAAAAAATATATTTTTTATATAATAATATAATAAGATGAAGCTTTTTATATATGGTAAGTTTTCAATTTAAATAATAACTTTTATTTAATACTATTCATTTTTTCTATTTTATTTTATTTTATAATATTTTTTTTATTTATTTTGATAGAAATTTTTGTGTACTCAAATTAACTCTTGATATGAATTGATTTACTAAAAATTAACAATAATACATAATATAATAAAATATAATAATATAATACTTTTATAAAATTCTTTAATTTAAATAAAATTTATTATTTAATGGTAGTATACTATTTATTTTATTTTATTTTTTTTTTTTCTATTTATTTTAATAGAAAATTTTTGTTTACTCAAATCATTATGAAGAATGAAACTTTTCTTCTGTTAAAAGTTAAAATAAAACATCATAATAAGGTAACTGAAAGGGATTAAAATTTTATAGAAATTTCTTTGACTATTATAGTTTACGATTTAATCTCATAAATAGATTTAATGATATGTAAATAGTTAAGCCACGTCTTTTTAACTAAGCAACCCTGCTTTGAAGCTGTCAACCTTAGAACTTCAATGTCTATTAATAAAAAATATTTGTATGTATCTCTTTACTTAATGACGTAGATGATATACATCAGCATTACGCACAAAAAAAAATAATTATTTTTGTAGTTGGAGATGAAGTAGTTTTAAGGATTATGTATTCGTTAATAGACTTTGTGATTTTAAGAGGTTTCATTTCGACATTTCGTAGAAGTAAAGAATGGCGATGAAATATTTCAAAGAATTTGACATAAAATTTTAATGATAAACCGATAAGTATAATTATGTTCAAAGTGAATAATTAATTGACGAAAAAGTTTAAGAATTAATTTTGCATTACGAAAACGCTTAAATAGTATACATCAAGAAAAAGATGGAGAACATGCGTTTTGGTACTAAAATACACACAATTTTATAATCACATAAAAGAAAGTATTTCATTTATTTGTTAAATGTTATATTTATAATTAAGCGAATTTTATGATACTATAAATTTTTAAAAGCAAAGAAATAATACTCGTAGATACTTGTCTTCATATAGAAGATATCTTATAAAGGAACTTTAACATTCTTTCGTTTTAAATATCTCGCTATTTTCTTATAATCTCTAATATATTAATTTATATAAATATTGAACAATAAGAACAACACTCATGTCATACAAATATAGTAAGTATTAGAAAAAAATGATTCCAGATAGTTCTAATATAATGTAACTGTTAATGCAAAATTTTAACTTAAAGATTCATTCCACTTTTCGAATTAATTGCTTTAAGTAGACTTATATATATATGTATATATATCGATATATATATATATGAATATATATATTAGTATTGCTTCATTTTACTAACGGCTCATTTACTCAATTGAATTAATAAAAAAAAAAATATTCAAATTATAATAAAATATATATTTAATTAAAAATAAATTTTTTTAGACATAATTTTAGAAGACTTACCTCATCCAATGGACAACCGGTGGATCGTAGTACTGCATGTGATTGTAAAACTAATAATTTTAATAATTTATCTTTAATCTCACCAAATGGTGAGGTTTTGGTACGTAATATAACAATACGTAGTGTCACCACAGAAGTCAATTCACCAATGATATCACAAACAGGTATTGTGGGATTATCAGAAATCTGTTCAAGCGGTATGGGTTTCCAATTTTTTATAATTAATGAACCTATAAAATATAAAATACAAATTGAATATTTTTAAAAATAAAAAAATTGTCTAAAATTATTATAGAAATTTATTTGCTCATTAAAAAATATATAAAAATCTTTTTCTAAGCGAATATGAAAAGGATTTTTATTATAGTACTACATTTACGTTCTAATAGTATATTTATTTTTAATTATTCTTGAATATAAAAAATGATTTAGTTATAAATATTTTATTTTTGTTCATTTTTGATTAAGATATATCTCATATCTTACAGCGTATTTTGTTAAAATAAATACGAAAAAATAGCAAATCCTGAAAAATAATACTTAAACAAATTCTTTTTATCCTTCATATAAAGGCAATAAGCCTAGTAGAGCAAAAAATTCATATAATCTTAATATATATAGATATTTATAAATTTATAATTTATTTGAGCGATACATATTTATATATTTA